GGTGGAGGCGGCGGCGGCGCGCAGCCGAGGACTTTACTGCGCCGTATAAAACGAAAATTAGGCCGCGCGCGCGCTCAAAAAGGAACCAACAGATATTAGACGACGCCTCACGCGCGGGGGTGGGTGGGGGCGGCCCCGCAGGAAGGGGTGGAAGAAGTGGGAGGGTGGGTGAGGGCGGAGGTGCAGCACCATATGAAGTCGTTCTTCGTTCCGGAGCGCTCCTAAAAAGCGAGACGGCGCCGGCGGCGGAGGTGGGCGCGGAAGACGAGGCGTGCCCCAGGGTTCCACATGCTCTCCAGAATCCAGGGCGAGTCCTCAGAAGGCAGGGCGCGCCAGGGACGGGAGAGCAAGGGTGAAGGGGGGTGGGAAGAGGAGGAGGAGGAGAAGCTGTCACCTCACACCGCAATTACGCTTTTACGTCGAGATGCTTTACGAGCCATTTCAATTGCGGCCCGTAAAGAGAGCGCCCGTGATAAGCACAGGTCCCTGTGCGTTACGAGGTCACATGACGTGCGGGAACGAAGGAACGTCTCGACACACACGACAGAGACTAAGTGAAGATAAAAATTGTGAAAGTATGAGATAAGTTTTATGTTATTCGCAGAAAGCATGATATCATTTGCATCGTACGACCGTAGTCCACAGTAATAAATTGTACTGGAATGACTTTCGTAAGTGATGTTTTGATACAAATAGTACTTAATGTTACATGCTACTGTTGCATTATATCGCTTGAAAGAGTCATAAATTTTAGTAAAATATTTTCAGAAAATGAATTCACGAGGTCACGAAACAAAGATATAAATGAACATATTCACGCAAGATAATCCACTGAAGGGCAGAATGGGTATTTGCAATCAAATAGTACATGAATAAAAAAATTAATTCAATGCGCAACTTGTTTGATTCATCAGCAACATAGTTGAAAAACAGGCGATATATTTCCTCTGGGTGTTATGGATCTGCATGAAAATTCTATCCACATTTGAAAAATTACAAACCGCTATGAATTGGAAATCGGCTGGCACCCTAATCCCATTTAATTGTGAATAATAATTAGCACGTAGTTTTTATGCTTTATATAGAAATTTATTATTTTCAGAAAGCACTAAAGCACAGCTGTATCTCTCATCGCGACTCTCGCCCTCCATTTTGATATTGTTACTTTCCTTCTTTGCCTATGGTGAAAGTTGTAAGATGGAGTCGTGGGGAGGGTGAGGGATAAATTATTATATAAAACCTTCCGGTACACCGTTTGAGCAAGCGAAGTGTCATACGAAACGACTACAACTATTTTCATCACATTCTAATATTAAAAAACACTAAAATTAATAACAATAAAAATAGTTTTAAAATAGTTTAAAGTATAGCAGACCATACTCCAAGCTATTTATGAGTATTAGGCTTGTTTTGTAGAAAAAAGTTAAGGAAACCTAAGAACACAAGGTTGTATAAATAAACAAAAGTTCTTATTTTAAGGCAATTTGAAATAAGATTTAAAATTTACAAAAGAAAACCGTGTTATTTGTTTTTTCATAATAACAATGTTATGTAAATATTCTGATCAAAACATTTGAAAATAGTGAATATAGAGAACTGAATCACAATTTGTCTGATAACTCCTGACGTTCCCTACACTGGTGTTTTGTTTTCGGAAGACTGAATACCTCGACAGGTGTGACATAGACATCTGTTGGGTAGCATACGCCCATCAAATGGGGTCAGATTCTATTACGTGACATCCGACGTACCATTGAGCTTAATAGTAATTTACCTCATTACGTGGCAATGCATCAATAATCCCTTGATTATGAATTCCTTTCAGGAAAAGCTCGCGAATGCAGGTAACAAACATCAGGCACATGAAGCCTCTGACAGGAATACGCCACAATGCGTTACCTCTCACTAGCGACCTTCAGCCGAGGGTGCCGCGATTTCAAACACACGCATGAGTGCAAGCACTGGAAAGAGAGGCGGTACGTTGGAAATTATGCGCAATAACTGGATAGAACATCAATTTCCATCACGTGTATCATTAGAGGGCAAATATTTTTTGACAGAATTCGTCTGCTTACTCTAGACAAAAGACGGTTACTACACTCTCTACTTCTTCTTCTTTATAAGTTTTTAACGGGTTCTCATGCAACACGCCTCTAAAGTAACTTCAATCCTCTTGAAACTAAATCGAGCTCGTGAATTCAGCCCCTGGCTTTGTGTACCACGTCACAACACGGACTTCATTTCCAGTAAAATCATTCACCACTACAGGGCTATCCGAGCCGTGCGAATAAATTACCAGCGGACTAAAGCATTTAACACTTTCGAAAATTCAAACTGAATTACCACATGGGTAAGGAATAACGGCATATAGAACCGGCGTCCAACGTCTTCTTCAATCTCCAGACTTCTCCCCACTTCCCAAGCGCCCCCGGTACCGCCCCGTTAAAAACCTTATATTTCCCCCTCTTATTCCATATTCTACCCCATACCCTCATTGCTCTATCCTCATCCTTTCATCCCTCTCACATCTAAATTATGAGCCATGCATACGTTTTCTGTGTACCCTAACGAAATTGTTGATTAAAATATACAAAAGTATTCAGTGACTTCCAGAATAAAAATATATTGGTTAGCATCTTTTACCAATCAGGATATTTACCTACAATATATTGGCATAAACAAAATTGGATGTTAAGATACCAGCACTCTTTGTATTGTTCCTTAGTACTGCCAGTATGTGTTTTAAAATTTACTGCTGTTATTTGCTGTACCAGTGTATTGGCTTCTTTGGTGTATAAAATTTATTGTAATGTTTATGTAAAAAGCTACCGTAAACTTTAAACGTAGCTTTCTCTAACGTTCTTCAAATAACTTCACTTTTTCGCCTACTTTTCTTCGTCCTTTTCTTCGCTTCTTTTCTCTTCTCCTCTTCCTCACAAATTCTTATCATGTTTAATTTTAGACCCCTTTCCCTGAAGTCTCTTCTTTTCTCTTTTACGAAACTTCCCCTTTCACTACTATGTACAAACTTACTCGTACTATTAATGTTCGGCCCTAAGCCGCCATCCTGATTGGAGGTTTTTCTGGGTTTACTCAATCGCTTAGGCGTATGCCGGGATGAGTCCCTAGGTTTGTTCTCCCAGACGTAAATTCGACAGCTTGTCATCCCCTCGTAAATATGTTGACATATCTAAATGTTACTATGTAAAGTTCAGTGGTTAGCGGAAGAGACAGGGCCCTATGGCCTGAGCCTCGCCATTAATAAAGACATTATTATTATTATTATTATTATTATTATTATTATTATATTTAATTTAGAAATCAGAGGTAGGTAATTAAACATTCTCAACACTTAATTATAAAGAGGTTTCATATATTATAATTACTTAAGTGATATAGAAATAATTATTCCTATGTAATATAAGTATTATATTTGTAAGAATAGTGTCTTAGAAGTAGTAGCATCAACAAACGATGGGTTTAAAATGAAGTTTCGAGACGTGTAGGCAACCTGCGATGCAGATCTGTTTAACGGAGCACAGGAGTATTCACCTAAATAGCTATCCCTCAACGCTTGCCCAGTCTATAGTAGGGCACAAAAATGTAGAAATAATAAATTGCAAATGCATGTGAAAGAAGAAAAACGTGCTACAGAGCGACAACCAATAAAGAAGTAAAACAAACGGGGCAGTAGGTGTTTTAGAGATGGGTAGGAGCGTAAAAAAACGTATTTTTTTATTTTATTTATTTACTTTTTACGAGTAAAATACAAACGAAAAGTTTTTAAAACATAACTTAAGAAACATTTTTAATCAGAACGTGTCCGCCCATTTTTATATATTTAAAGTTTTCATTTTTATATGCTTCCTTCTTTTCTGAAACAAGTATTCTGGACATATTCAATAAACATAATCTGTTCAGTCGTTCTCATGTCACTGCAGATGTTAATCATATTATTACTCTATGCAAGGCGGTGAATGGCCGCTTTGCACTGCCGTGCGGAAGGAACGAACGTAAAACTGTAGCCTGTAGAGCAAGAGGAGTTGACATAGGAGCACGACATAGGTGTTGGCAGGACAACAATAACATGCCGGGTAGGAAATGAGAGAGAGAGATAAGGACGTAGCGCGTGGGACGGAGGAAACTACGTAAAAGATGAATCTGTTAAACTTCGAGGCATCAGTTAATATCTAACATGAAAGAGGATAAGTGCGAAGATTAATGCGGCAATTGTCCTCTGCTATCCTTTAGATATTACGTGGATGGAAGCACGAGTCGCGGACGATCAGTCAGAAACAAAGTGGAGAACGTACCCGAAGAAGTCCAAAAGAGACCGCGGCGCGGAAAAGGCAAGCCCACACTCGGCTGTCACGGGAATTGCTATCTGAGACGAAATGAGTCGGGGAGGGGAGCAACAGGAACGTAGGCATTCGCAGCCTCACACAAGAGGTGCGATGAGCTACACTTCAGGGCTCTATGGGCCCCTTTCAACTTTGCTATTTACGTATGTGGCATATTTTAATAGGAAATAAATACTCGAAAAGCATATTGTAAGAAGGATGGAAATATAGCTTATAAAAATCATGACATAATTAAAAAGTGCCATTAATTTGTGATGAACTATTTACAGTGTTGCCAGATGATTTTGATAGGCTCTTTCCCAAATGTTCTGCATGGATTCTCCAAAAAGTTAACTTAAAAAGAGGAGAAAATAAAGAATTGATTGAATTTTTGGAACTGATCATATTACGTTGGGAGTCAGGCCCCTTTTGAATTTTTCGGGGTGACCCCCTCCCCCCGTTTGTGCTCTCGCCTACGGACCAATTGCGATGTAGTGAGCGACGACGCATCCAGGCGCTGCTGAGAAAGGAAACCCTGGCCGGCATCGGGCTGTTCCAGAGAATGCGATTAATGTAGTGGGCCGGCCGCACAAAGGCTGTTTGGCCCCTCGGACAAAGGAAGTCTGTCGACTGGCGAGGTGGCCTTCGTCCCGCAGACTCCTAGCACCAGCCGAACTCGCAGTCAGCAGTTTTGCTCAATATCTCTACGAGACCACGCATAGGGCACATATCAGCACATGGCGTCCTGGCAATCCATTCTGGCGCTTTAATGAAGAAACGATTACAAAATCATTCCCTGATTAATGACTGTATACGGCACACATCAGATACCGTCGTTGCAATCCATTGTGGCATTTTAATGAAGAAACCATTGTAAAATCACTCCGTGATCGACCAAGTAAATGAATAGTTCATAGTTCAATGGAAAGGAAAAATGTTGGAATTCTCATTCATAAAATGGATAACTCAGTATGCCGTTGCATATGAAAGACTTACTAGAATGAAACGTAATCGAAATATGTATTTAAATACTAACGATCACTTAAATATAATGAATTGTTAGATGGATAAATGCATTTACTTATATTGAAAAACATTTCATTTTTCACTAAGATGTAATATACATAAAATTCAATGTTCCTTTTATCTACCTTTGGGAAACATAAGGTTACAACTAACAATTCAGTCGTTTCAAGAAAACTGATGTCAATATTTCGTTAATTCAATATTTAGTCATCTTTCCATATACAGCTATGATTTTCACAGTAAATATTTTCCACAGATTGCATCATAATTAGAATGTTCTAATTGCAACAGAAGAGAGAGTTTTGTGAACTTATTCTCTTCGATTACTACAATTAAAAACCCGCCAGTCCAAAGGGCTGGTATCACGAACGTTGTTCCTACGAAAATATTGTTTATATAAGGTGTCTCCTATTTTCCTATTTACTATATCGTACCAAGAAATAATGGTACCGCTTAAGATAATATGAAACAGACGCTTCCTCCAAGTTACTATTTTCTAATTAATTACTCAGCAAATCTTGATTGTTTTGCAATAGAATAAACAAAAACTATAAAAATGATGAACTTACAGAGCACTTCCAGAGTTTTGCTGCTCTTGAGCGGTTTCTCGTCCTTGGCTTGCATGACAGCGTTGATGGCTTCGCACCGGATGTTGACACCGTTCTCATAGAGAGTGGCGGTGAAGTGGAGTTCCGAGATGGTGGTGACAGTGTTGTCCGGCTGCACAAATCAAAACAAAGTTAGGCACATATTTCTGAACACCTGAACCATTTAACTTCTACAACAATACAAGCATAGAAAATAATAGCGAAATTCACTACTTTAGGAGTTTAAAATGCAGAGAACACAAACTGCAAAATGCAAATTATAAGCTAGCATATGATAAAGTGGAACTAAACACGCAATGATTGGAAAATAAATTTTAAAGAACAAACACTCCAAGATCATAACAATTCTATGAAAGAAATGTTGAAATGCCATTGCAAAGTTTACTTGAACCACACCGTGAGAACGACTTTTAAAAATCCTTTACTTTTTAAACAAAAGGGAAATCGTTTGCGTAATTCGAAACTAATGAATACATTTATGTATTCATTAGTTATTACATTAGATAAATATCCCTATTGAAGAGCAGAGCGCATATCTAATCTGCTACATTTTCAATTTGAGAAAAAGTGAATGTTCTCTGGAGAATTTTGTTTTTTTTTTCTCTCCGAAATTACTCTCTGAGGGGAAGCGTTATTCATGATGGAATCGAAGATGTTCTAACCTTTGTGATTAAAAATCAGTATTATAGATTCAGATAATGAGCTAATATATAAATATTAACAAAATACATATAGTGCTATAATACTATTGGTGCTATAACAACTCATACGTTACCACTTAATTGGTAACTTTTGGAATTTTCGAATATAAAAAGGATTCAATGAAACTTATTCTTCACCATTTTCTAAGCGTTCTTAGCTCTATCTGAGGGAAAAGTCAGGTACATTTTTGAGAAAATCTTGTCCTTCAAATATTTTACTCAAAAAGTACGCAAAAACTACTTATATTTTGAAAAAATGTACATGACCTCACATAAAGAACTAAATTTGAAGAACATATTTTATTCTAAAAATAAAAAAATCTCCATCTTTAATATTGTAATTGTAGGAAAACACTGAAAAAATTAAATGTTTGCAATATTTGAAAACTAAGAGACCATCAAAAATCGGAGTAGCGCCATTTTATAAGCGTACATCTCAATACTCGAGAAAAAAATGCAAACAAAAAATTTGAGGCCATTTTTGAAAACATTAATTTTGACGTAAATCCTACCTATGGTTTAGGCGCTAGCGTATTTCAAAGGCAGGCAGACGGACGGACAGACGGACGGACGGACAGACGGACGGACGAAGTTTTGCCGTATACCGAGTTTTCGACATTAAGGCCCAACAAAACGTGGGTTATGACAGGTTATTGGAAGAAGATATTTACTATCTATACTAATCCATTTTTCGGTATCACGAACCTACAATTGAGTTATGTCGCAAACCTGCCGGATTTTGCAGCAGCATTACAATCCTTTCTCTAATCCACGTAAGTATTGAGGGGCAAAGAAAAAAAAGAGAAATGATCTGGAATAACAGCAGTACCTAGTACACACAAAACTTGTATTCGACATGTAATGAAATGATTACACAAACACTAAGTATTGACTCTCGTGGCACACGTGTACTGAATCCGACGGGTAAATGCTGTACTACGTGGGTGGACCGCAGATTAGAGCGATATTAAAGAGTTACAGTCATGCGTTCAGCAATACAACGAAACCATACAATTAGTCGGCTAAATTTGCCTCGAATTAAAATCAAGCTGTGCAATATCGTTCACGAAACAGTAACCGACAGCATGCCACAACTAGCACACAAATTTTGTTGTTAACAAAGCGCCAAATATCTGAATATTGATGGAGCAGCAGTAGCCAACTACCGACGCGTGTACGTTGCTAATTGTGCACACTTTGTGATAAATGGCGGTAAAACGCTGAGTTTGCTACGTCAAATGAGATCCTACAAGCCGGATGCAGAAAGAAGCAGGGCGGACACGGAGTGGCATAGAACTAAATAAGGTATCGAGAAGACTCACGGTAAGAAAATCATTTTGATAAATGAAAATTGATGTGAATTTTTATTTTCAAACCTATCACTCTAAACAAATAAATCTACTATATCTTATAGTTCTAGGAGTGCAACCAGAAATATCGTATGTCTCTGCGAAAGATAAGATAGACACTTATATAAGGAAAATGACAGTATTTTCTAGGTGTTGGAGAATTTATTTGCCGTAAAAAAATAATATTACAGAACCGAAATTGCTGGATATTTTATTTGCTGGAGTTTTGTAGTTCTAAGCCTCCTTACCCCTAAATTTGTGAAATTGACTTGTTCCTAAAAGGAACAAACCATAAAAAGCAGTCAAAACAAATACTTCCGATTTCTCAAGCAATGTCGCGTAGTATGCAATTATGCCGACATTTTGAAGATCATTTTGTAACCTTCTTTTGGTCTGAATGTGCCACGTTGGCGTTCAGTTTTATAATATCAACCAAAGGTAACCAGCCAATTGGCTTGGACGGATCCGATATCATTTCAGTATTCTTCTTACAGAAATAGTATTCTGCTTGTCATAGGGTTTCCATTTTTCTGTTTCTGTTAGAACCCTCCCTTAGACCGTTTGGAGAAAGTGGTGTGTCATTCGAAGCGTCTCGGTACAGTGGTGCATTTTTAAAATACTTTTCAAAACCTACGAGAATTCTCGACATAAAACGTGCTTAGAGACCTTCAAAGTATCTAAATCGCGTTTTGAGGGGTTTGAAGGCACTTACAGACACGATCAATAACCCATTGAACTTCTCTTGACAAGACAAATCGATTGACACTATTTTTGGCCGGATCCTTTTTTTTAGTATTCTAAAATAATTTCAGGAAAAAGGGCTATTGGTGGATTCAATTCATCAACAGTAAAGAAAAGCTGTAAATTATTATACTGCTTATTCGACGTAACATGGATAGTGTCAACTTGATTAATTAGATTGTTTACAATTAAACCCAATATAGTAATAATACCAAATCAAATGAAATTGGTATGCTTTTTATATACTTTTAATTGCAACTATCTACGCCGGAGAAGGACCTACAAGGCAACTGTATTATGTTTGAAATTTCTTTTATTATATGAACTTGCGTAGCTCCAATACAAGATTTAACATGAAAATACCACGCTACGCTAGTATGCAATGCTTTGGTCAGAAGGTCAAGAGTTCGAGCACGTTTCCTTACCGCGCCCGTAGACCGGCGTCTTTTACGCTACCCACGCGCCGCCGCGTGGGCAGATAAAGGCGTCGCATTAGCCCCTCGTCCGGCGCGGGCGTGGGCGTGGGCGGGGCGGGGGCGAAGGCGGTGGGAGAGCGGCGCTATAAATTCCGCGGATTAAGAGGCGCCGGCCCTGGGCCCGCCCTCCCACCCGTCGGCGCGTCGGCAGGGGCGGGGCGGGGCGGGCGCCGCGCGGGAAGAAGTCGCCGCAAGAAACGTGTGGACCGCGAGACGCAGCGGCCGGGTGGGCGAAGGGGGCGGGGCGGGAGCGCGCGGGCGAAGAAGGCGGCGCGTCGGCGTGAGTTAGGGCGCGGCAAACACGCGCCGAGGCAGACGGATGCGCGGCGATCGCCTCCTCGGCGCCCCGCCCGCAAAAACGCGAGCGTGCGCGCGCGCCCGCCCGCCCGCCGGCAGACAAGGCGACGCGCGGCAGATGCCCCGCTGCCCTCGAGCCCATTTGTTTAGCGCCGCCGCCGCCGCCGCTGCTGCCATTTGCTCTGCGTAGCAGTTTTGTTTCAGCTGCACGTTTTTTACTACGTGTTACTCCTCTGTGCTGGCACTCCTACACGGTTTCACGCCCAGGTCATGAGAAGCTCAAGCATGCAGATGCATATTCTCATAAAACTGTGCTCTTTACAACTTTCTCTTCTTTTTCATTTGTTCCTTTGACATTAGTTATCTGTCACTAAGACGTGTTATTATCATACATGCATATTATTTCATTTCCAAATCTTCTATTTAGGTAGCGATTTAATGTTGAGTTTTTTCTAGTTATTAATTGATGTGATTCAATGCTAGTGGAGTACCGTAATAGGTATGGGCGACTTCTATTAAGATTTTTCTTGTGAACATCATATAGGAGAAATGAAAACGAGAGAGGAGAGAGAGAGGAGAGAGAGAGGAGAGAGAGAGGAGAGAGAGGAGAGAGAGAGGAGAGAGAGGAGAGAGAGAGAGGAGAGAGGAGAGAGAGAGGAGAGAGGAGAGAGAGGAGAGAGAGAGGAGAGAGAGAGAGGAGAGAGAGATTACTTTTATTTTCGTACGTAACGCTCTAGAGAACGAATGGCAGGCTCCAGGGCTTACAGCAGCAATCGATCATCAAATAAGAGTAGTATTAAATTTTGTACTTTTCGTTTATTTCCGACTCTGTTCAGTGATATTACCTGGCACTCATTTATCGAAAACATTTAGTTTAGTTAAATTCTTATCGAGACTTTACTAATGCGGTTATGTAAAAAATATTTGAAAAATAAATGTACTACTACTTTTGTATCGTTTTCGGTCTCGTAAAGAATATACAAATAATTGACATTACAGCTTCAATGCATCCAAATTTCCGCAATTACACACGAGCAATCAAAACCGACCAACGTGAAACCACGTCTTATACGAATTCGAATAGCCTATAAAGCGCACATCGGGTTGTTATGTCCTAAAATATGACACCTCAAGATAACAATTCTGCCGACGCAGTCACAGCAGCAGAAGTAATAACGCCTGCGGGGGCGGGGAGCCGGCGTCAGCCGAGTTGGTCGCCCCCTTCGACGGACGCCCGTGCAGTCTCCGGAAGTAATGGGCTCGGCCCGGACGCCGCCCCGGGCGCTCCAGACCGAGCACTCGTGTATCACAACTTCCGCGGGGCAGAAATGGCATTGTGCCGCAGATCCTATTACCGGTAATCTCATATTGGTCTACGACCTCGAGGGGGCACGCGCGACGCGGCCCGAGCAAGTTCCATGCCCCGCAACTAGGAGCCAGCAGAAGGAAACGGAAAGGATGGGAAGGGAAGAGGGTTGAAAAGCCAGAAGTCAACAATTATATAGATAGCAGTCAGGAATTGTGATGAGAATCATCTGAATGGGGGAGCCAAATAAATTGAGGATAGGACACACTTCAGTGGAAAGAGAAGGAAAATAATATAAAAATATGGGAAGAAACATAGGCAAAAAAGGGATATAACGTGTAAGGTGCGAAGAGGTGAAAATGCAAAAGAAAATAAAGAGAAGAGAAACGCGATGAAGTAGTGTAAGAATGATGGGGAAGGCGAGAAGAGAAGGCTGAGCAATGCTAGGGAGGAACTCATGAACGAACGTCAGACGACCCACGCAGAATGCTGAGAAACGGAGGGAAAGAGAGCAAACAATTGCAGGAGGTAACAAGCCGGAGAAAATTATTGGTGGAATTCCCCATCCACTTGAAAAGGAAAGCCTCGAAGAACGTGGGTGAAGGTTGCATCTGCAGAATACATAGACACACAAGAAGTAGAAAGAAAGAATAAAATGTGAAATAGGATAGTCGGAGTCGCTTCAATTGTTCCCCTGAGTCTAAGACGCTCCCTCGGCACCGACTGTAGCCTTGTTGGTCCTTAAGGCATTGGCCGGCGCATTAGTCGCGTTAAGGTCTAGGGCTGTAAAGACCCGCTCGTGCGTACAGCGCCCTCTACAGTTCGGGTCGGCGCAACGGTCTTCAAGATCTCGCCGCCGCCCTTACCAGCGCTTCTTGTGGGACAAACCTGATATATTACAGGAAATGATACCGCAATATTCCATTCATAAACAGCTCTCGCAGCCTACCCTCGATAAATATACATGAACCTTTTTATTCCCGGCTGACAAAGTCGCCATAAAACAGGATATTGTGTTAGAGGGGAGAGAAATGCACTGACTTGAGCCAATAATCCGGGGCGGTACTGGCGTAGGGAGAAAGCTGGGCGGGAGACGATGTTCGTGGAGTAGAGAGAGAAGGAAATCGCTAGCATATTCTCGGCGCTGAAATCCAGAGTTGCAATTTCGGAAGAATTTTCTCGGGGTTAAAGGAGTACAATAATAAAGTTGACAGGAATATTTGCAATGCTTTATTATTTCAACGGATGGCATTGGTAAATATTACAAACGCGTTTATCCTTACTTCCTTTACTTTACTACCCTATTCAAATGATGTCATTCATTGTTCATCAATAGTATAAATAGCCAACAACTTTCTTGTTTACTCAAATATTATTACTTCATGCCACTAGTACAAGGGCGAGTTTGGTTAACAGTTTAGTCTACTACATGCTACATTAAAAGTAGAAGCTAAGTGAGATGGTATCGACTGAAATGAACCAGTCATGAGAAGTCACATTAATTATTAACATAATACGAATGTATCATATTCTATATTGATGATTAATGTCTCTGAAAACAACGAATTAAATTTGAAGTCCTAATATCCTGTCTCAATGAATCATGAACATGAAACAGCCACAAACCCAGGCACTTTTTATTCCGAATTCCATTTACTGATCGAGCCAATGCCAACCTGTTTCTGGTTTTGACAGTCCGACAGCACGAACTCAACTGATCTAGTAAATTTCCGAATTCGCCTGGAAACGGTGAGTCAGGAAATCAACTTGCGCTGACACGTGAACTCGAGCTGGTCTCACACTAAGTAGTCAGTGCACATATGCAAACCACAAACGAGAAAGGGGGCAGTCTACGGTGAACAGTTACTGTGGCAAGGGAGCCCCGCTCGGTTGACTGAATCAAGAGACAGCGGTGCGGGGGAGGCGGGGGGGGGGGCAAGGCGACCTGGAAGCTACGTCGGCGTCGAGGGGAGGCTTCCGGCCCGCCCGGATTACGATGACAGCAGCTGGGAAAGTCCCCTGGGGGCCGAGGGGGCAGGTCCCCCTCGCGGAGCGCTGGCGCTGACGCGTGTCAGGATGTCACTTCAACGGCGAGCCTACAACAGCTTGCGCCGATTACAGCTGAGCACACACCGCGCGCGGTGGGCGCGTGCGAGCATTGTCTCAGGGCGGTCGATCACTGAAGCAATTCAACGGGAGCGGTGCCGCCTGTGACTTCGCGGCAGCGAAATTGAATCTGTGCGCATGCTCTGACACGTAACTGACGGCGACGGTACAAGAGTAGGAATACAGCTGCAAATTGAGCGCTCTCGGCGCACTGGAGTGACATTTTCCGACGCACTGGTGGTGATGGTGTGGTGGAAGAGCTTTGCCATCCTTCCCTGGAGCGCTGTTACGCCCCAAAGCGTATCGAAATTGTAACCGTTGGGAAGAGGACGAATAGTAGATGTAGTGAGAAATAAAATGGAAAGCAGGAAAGACAGTGCCGCACAACAAGAGACGACTCTAAGATGAGGACAATAACGTTATTTGCAAGCACGGTGCTAGGCAGAGCTTTCTTGCAAAATGTAATAATTTGAATAATTACACATTAAAGTACGAAAGTCTTGACATAAGTTTAAAGAATTGTAAGTGCTTCGATGTATTGGTGTGAAT